GGGGGGGGGGGTCCTTATGATAATTAAAAGCATTGGGCCCCACAGCCCTATTCTAACCAGGTCAGAGTTTTCAACCCCAAGCCCAAACTCCACGCATCTCGACGCCCGAAGCCTGCATCTAAACCCTTGAGCCCTAGATTGAAAGCCTACCTAAACTCGAATCCCAAGACCTTAAGCCAGCAAGAAGTCCAGTAGCTAACAGCAAGCTTAGACACGAAATGCAGAAGAGAACTGAAACCGTCAAAACAGGGGAGCTTTAAACCAATAAAGCTTGCAACACATCTCCTTAGCCAGCAAAGGAGCTTGGGAAATCCCATGTGGAGTCCTCCTTCTACCTCGCCTTGCACAGCGGGATGTGCCAAGGTGCGCGCTGCCTTCTTCTGGAAGTCCTTTTAATGTTTTGGGGTGCGGGGGGGGGGGGGGGGGTTCGGATTCAGGGTTGGGTTTCAACAAGGTTTAGAATTTCAGGGGTCAGCATTTGCAGGACATTCAGGTTTAGGTCGAGTTATTGAACAAGATTAGGCAAGTTAAGGGTTACAAGGGTTCAACAGCGTTTGGAGTTAGAATCGCATCCGGGTCTTGGTCCGTGCCGTTTTGGGGTTCGGGAGCATGGAGTCGTGGGTCGATGATCTTACGGAGGAGAACAGCGTGGCCCTACCACATACAGTTTTTTCCCAACGTCCCATACCACTCTGCAGCCTGAGCCCAAAACCAAACCGTAAATCGTATACCCTACCCTTACAGAGCCCTCAGAGGAACCCATAAAGGAACCATAAAACCCTAAGGCCATCATCCTTAAAGAGCCCATCTCTGATCTGTCACTTTGAACTGTAGCCTGCCTCTCCTGGAGAGTTTCGGGTCTGAAAGAACGAATACTTTTGAACGTTTCGAGCCTGCCCTAAACACGACAAAGTTGGAGACCTGATTATGGGCAATTAGTGCTGGGATTCCCTATACATTGAGTATCCCTTAAGGATTGAGGCTATTGGGTTTCCAACCTATGGGCTTCTACTACATTCCGGGTCGAAGCCATAAACCCGAGAGTCGTTTTTGGAGGCTGTAGGATCTTGTTTTCCGAGGCTTTCGGGTTTAGGGGTTGCGGGTTTGGTTGTTCAGTGTTCAGCGTTTAGCCCTGGTTGAAGGTTGTGATTTAGGGTTGGGTTTCGAAGGTCTGCATCCGCAACCCTTTTCGAACTAAACCCTAAACCACCCTGAACCCCTAAATCCCAGATCCTAAACCCACATCCCTCGTCCCCTTCAAGCGTCGGGAGCAATGCACGGTCACAGCTAGGATACCCCGCCTCCCCTCCCACAGGATTGTCAGACCCGGATAAAGCCCTTTCACATGTTTACAACTTGTGCCACCCTTTTAAGGTGCTATGAAACGGAATAGAACCTAAGCTTTCACGACCTCCTGTGGATGCCAGGTACCTGCATGATACTTGATGAGATGGCGATGCCGCTGAAGAGGCACCGGGGTTCAGGGTTAGGGTGTAGAAGCTTAGGGGTGGTTTAGGTCGGGTCTGGACAATTCTTCTTCAGTGTCGCCAATAAGACTCATATGCTGGGCCAGCATCTCAACAGTCCCACGCAGCAGCGTTGGCCGTTTAGTTGATCGTGGTGGTCAACTTAGTCGTTGTGAAGGTCGTGGTGGTTGTGGTGCGTATCGTCGTGGTCGGTATATCACCGTCGCGACCATGGAACACAAAGCGGCTGCCGTTGCCGCCAGACTCAAGTTTTAATGACCACCCCGTACACTTCGCAAGAAGATTTGTACCGGCATGATGAACAAGATTGTGGAGCTCCGCAACCCCGCATGAAGTATTATAAATTCTTGTGTTGCCCAGGCACATTGAGAACTCAGAAGATTGGAAGCACCCTGCCAAGATGTAACAGCACTAGTGAACTAGTGAAGCCTACGACACCTTGCGACCAGCTATCGAAAGCCTTTTGCAGCGTATACCAGCTCTCTCGAAACACCTAAGCCCTAAACCCTAAACTGCCTTAAACCTTAGTACGGTCCTAGGGCGACACCCTGAACCCCAAGACCTGGACACAAGAGCATGTGGGGTTTGGGGGTTAAGGGTTCATGTAATATAGCGGCCTTAATCATTAGAATAGGATTTGGGGGTATAGTATAGTGTAATTATAGTTTATAATAAGGAACCCCCAAACCCTATTCTAGTTATTAAGGCCCCTACATTACAATTTATGGTTTGGGGGATGATGGCCTCAGCAAAGCCCTAAATCCTAAGAACGCAAACCCCAACCCCTAAGCCACGTAAAGCTCAGGAAAGACCCTTGGAAGCCAGAAGCCCTAAACCCTAAACCCTTAGCCCTAAACCCTAAAACCCTAAACCCATTAACCCTAAACCCTAAACCCTAAACCCTACATCCTAAACCCTAAACCTTTGATCCTAAGCCCTTAACCCTACATCCTAAACCCTAAACCCTTAATCCTAAGCCCTGAACCCTACATCCTAAACCCTAAGCCCTACATCCTAAACCCTACATCCTAAACCCTACATCCTAAACCCTAAACCCTAAATCCTAAGCCCATGCCAGGTCATGGTGCCTCTTCGAGCTGCTTCAGACCATTGAGCTAGAGAGAACTCAGGCCGAAGCCGGAGCTTTCGGGTTTAGGGCTTATAGGGCTTTGGGTTTAGGGTTTAGGGCTTTAGGATTTAGGGTTTAGGGTTTAGGGTTTAGGGGTTTAGGGTTTAGGGTTTATAGAAGTTTTTAAGGGTTTGGGTGCCAATAAGTTTTGACTGAAACGTTTTGACCGTAAGTTTGACCGAAGCGTTTTTCTTTCGGAACCTGATTTTGAATCTGGGCTGGCTGGTTGGGACAAGGACTGGGACTGGGCGCTGGGGCTGGCGGGCGTGGCTGGGCTGGGCTGGGCTGGGCTGGGCTGGGCTGGGCTGGTAGGTTTCCGGATGGCCAACAGCAACAAGCAATGTCTGTATTTTTTCTTGAGGGTTTAGGGTTTAGGGTGATATCGGAGCCTTACTTATTAACGGTTTAGGTTAAGGTTTTTTGGGGTTTAGGGGTTTTGGGTTTAGGGTTTAGTATTTCGAATATGGTTCTGCAGTATACTGTACCACCATCATGGTAAGGCGCGACTGAAATAGTATTGGTAATTATTTAGCCCCCTGTATTAGGGCTTAAGAGTATAGGGGCGTCAGATCTTCGGCTCGTGGTGTTCCGATTTAGGGATTTAGGAGTGTTACGGTTGAGGGTTCGAGGTTTAAGGGTTTAGGGGTTCAGGGGTACTGGGATATGGCTTCTGAAGGTTTAGGTTTACAGTTTAACCGTCAGGCACTTTCACTCTCAGCCCTGTGCCCTCAAACCCTAACCCCACCCGAACAAAGACCTCAGCCCAGAAGCTTAAAACCCTTAGAGGACTTGGGCGTACCGAGGCTGCTTTTAGGGCATTTAGGTCATTCTGAGGGCAGGGGGGGGGGGGGTGAGTAGTTGGGGTTTATATTCCTTGAGGATTCGAGAGATGGTTTTGGCTCTGGGCTCTTCCTTGCTTAGATGCTCAGGGTACGTCGCAAGATATCGACGAGGGTTCCATGAGAATTACAGTGATTATGCAAAATGTGTTTTGGACCGACTTCCTAAATCCTTCAAGCCCCTAGACACTCTGAAGCCCTCAAGACACCCCAACTCAACACTCTCGAAGTCGATAAAAACCATGATGATTCAAACCAGGAAATTGGGAGAGTTACGGGTCTCAAGGAGGCTTTGGGGTGGACACTGTTTGCTAGCCCTCAAACTTAAGGCCTAAACTCTAAATCCAAGCCCTCAAACCCCAAACCGAAACCTTCCTTATCCTTCCGTAGAACACCCGATAACCCCCCCCCCCCCCCCCGCCCCTATGAACCAGTTGAAGCAGCGCCTGCAAGCCTTAGCACTTAAACCCTGAAGCTGCTTACTCGTCAGAAGATGCTTGGTGCAGGCGAACTTCCGAGGTCTCCTGTTCTGCACCGAGCACGGCGTGCCTCGGTTTTGGAAGGGGTGGTTGAGGGTTTCGGACTTCATGAAGTTTCGAAGGGGCGAGGGGTGGGGGTAGAGTGTTTGCTGGTTTTTCGTTTTCAATTCTTGATTGGTCTGTGTTTCTAACTGTTGCTGCTTATTTGAGTGCGTGTGTGTGTGTGTG